CCAAAATCCACACTGAATGGTTCACTATATAGGGATGAACTGTATGGTACACGGACTATACTTCATTAATGCTTTTTTTTTTTTTTTTTTTTTTAAACATTTATTTTCTTGAGAAAGAGAGAGAGACAGAGAATCCCAAGCAGGCTCCACACGGTCAGTGCAGATCCCCACATGGGGCTCGATCCCACAAACTGTTAGATCATGACCTGTGCCAAAACCAAGAGTTGGATGCTCAACTGACCGAACCCCCCAGGCACCCCAAACCTGTTATTTAAATGGGAGAGTAAGTGAATATTATGAAAAAAGGTATACTGATACACTTGATAGCTTAAAGATAAAAAATTCATGAAAGATACAAACGACCATAAGTAGAAGACAAAATCCAGACAGTATATACAACAGATAGTAAATACACTGAGTAATACCTTAACTTTAAAAAAGAAACACAAACTTTAGGTGAAGATGGTTTCACAGATGAATTCTATAAAATAAGAGAGCATTTATCTTATAAATGTAACTACTGCCACTGAATTATACGTTTAGAAAATGGTTAAAATTGTAAATCTTATGTGGTATTTGTATATTTTACCACAATATATGAAAGTACAAAAAGAAGATTTCTATATACATTTTTCTCTACAAAAAAAAGGGGGGGGAAATGAAATGAAAATCAAAGTCTTGTCTTAGGCCATACATCTGAGGGCTCTTTTAGTTAAAAAAGAAAGAAAGAGGGGGCGCCTGGGTGGCTTAGTCGGTTAAACGTCTGACTTTCGCTTCGGTCATGATCTCACGGTTCGTGGGTTCGGGCCCCGCGTCAGGCTCTGTGCTGACTGCCAGCTCAGAGCCTGGAGCCTGTTTCAGTCTGTGACTCCCTCTCTCTCTGACCCTCCCCTGCTCACGCTGTCTCTCTCTCTCTCCTAGAAATAAATAAAACATTAAAAAAAAAAAAAAAGAAAGAAAGAAAGAAAAAATAAGAAAGAAAGGCCAAACTAGCAAACCAACAGTAGCAGCAAAGCAGCTCAATTTAAAGGTCTGGAAGATCTAAATACACACTAAGTGCCCTGGCCCTCTGAGGTCCTAGAAAAATGACTGTGACCCAGTGTAGCTCCCAATGTCCTCAAGACCCCTCTAGAGTATCCATAAAACCAGTTCTAATCCGTAAACCACAGAACCCGAAGGAACTGAGAGCACAGAGCGAGGTGAGGGCTCTGGGCTGCTGCTGGCAGGTCTCAATTTAGATTGCTCCTTGAAAACCTGGCCATATGTGCTATTACCTGGGCTTGGGGAGACGCATCGGAATAGTTAAAGTGTCACAGGAGGGAAAGTGTTCAGAGGAGCCCTCTGTCAAACAAACTATAGCCATGATGCTTGGAACCAAGGTCATTAGTTGACTGGGACCAAAAACTAAATGTATTACTTTTAGATCATTTTAAATGACCACTCAGGGCAAAATGAAGCCATAGTGAGAAACCAAGTACAAAACTAAAGAAAGGCTTATCCTGCGCCCACCCCCCAAAAAAATCTAAGGAAATCAAACTTACTCTAAGGTGTCTAAGTCTATTTAGGGTTTCTCTGAGGAAAATCAGCCAAGAAAACAGCCCTGGACACCATTATCTGACTCAAATACAGAAACTGGTGTTGCAGCAACCACAGCTTTTTGCCAGACAAGTTCCTTAAGGTTCAGTTCTGCTACAGATGCCCAAGACAGCATTTACACTATTCACTGTTCATTCTGTTCCACAAGTAATACTATTAATATCACCAACAAATTAATTTTTCAATTGTCTTATCTTTGGGAACCCTGATACTTCTAAAGAAGCAATCTTAGGGAGGATGAAGGGGAGAGGTAAGGAACAAAGGTTAATGAGGCTGAAGAGTATAAAGAGGCGGGAAAACCTCCCAAGAGCCATTCCTTGTTTAGGAGACATAAATATTTGAAATCTACTCTGACAAGAGTATCAATGGCTAAAAGAAGGAATTTATTAACTTCACAACATTCTCAACCCCTCCAACAGACTTTACATCATTTCCAGGTCATGCATAAACTTCTTTTTTTTTTTTTTTTTTTTTTTTTTACAAATAGTTTATTGCATAAACTTCTGAACCAGATTAACCCTAAGAGCCTTACAAACTCTCTATTGATCTTTTACAACACAAGAACAGCAATACAACAAGAAACCTTTATTTTTAGACCTGCAAAATCCTGTGTTTATTTTTCTAAAACAGAAGTCAAACAACTGAACTGGCTTTGTTTGGACTTTCGTAAACCTACTCTTTCATAATCCTGAGGTCCCAAGCTCTGCACAGAAGGAAATGAAGAAAAAGTGCTCTGTGCCACGCTGGAAAGTTAAAACACGGTGCCTCCCTTGGTCTTTTCTGCTCAGGCGCATCCGAGCCTCCTGCTGGTCACAGTTCACACTGCTGGAGCCCTATCATATGACACCTGCCGTATGCACAAGGGGAGGCAAAGGCTCTCACCAGCATTCATGTTGAAACCAGTTCAGTGTCTGAACTACTAACTCTTCTGCATGCAACGTTTAAGCAAAAGTGCTTAACCACAAGTTCTTGTAATCACTCAACTAGCATTAAACACTAAGTGGAAATGGGTTTATAATTCCCTATAAACATTAGGCTCTTGCAAAACCCTATTCCAGTGCTCTGATTTTTCAATAACATGGCCTCCACACAGACCACCTTTTAGTTGGAAAAACACACAAGGTAATTTTAAAGTGAAGAAAAACCATGCCCACGATGTGAATGTGCAAAAACAGGGGTAGAAGTAATAAGCAGGTGTTTCTGCTCTCAAATTCCTTAGGTAAATTGACCAACCATAATTAACAATGCTATTACTGCCAGCAGAGAGAAGCCCTGCAATTAATCCCGTCACTTAAATGAAGATTTTACTCATTAGCTCACAAAACTAGTCAATTCAAAATATTATGTTTTCAAAAAGCAAAGCTCGCATTTTAACCCTAATAATTAATAAAATGAGCAAATAAATTGATAAGTAAATTCTGCTGTCCCCGTGTTCCCCTCCCTCTTCCTTTGTGCTCTCCCAGTGCTCACTCATCACATCATCTAGAACCGTTTATGTAAACTTGCAGTCTTTGAGGGCAGGAACCATTGTTATTAACTTGTATACTTCTGAGCATCTAGCACAATGCTTGGGACATAGCACACTCTTAGCTTTTGTGGTACAAATAAAAAAAATAGAGGGTTACCTGCTATGAAGTATGTAAACAGAGAAGCAGAGGCCAATGCACTTGGCCTCAGGAGAAGCAAAAGGCTTCTTAAGGAAAATTCCCTCTGGCCTCAGAGCTGGGTGGGAGTCACTACAAAGATGGGCACTTGGATGAGAGAAGAACCTGTGCCCAGGCAATGAGGAATGGAAGAGCAGCATATTCAGGGTACAATCAGTACAAGAAGAATAAGGAAAGGGGGCAAGCCTGTTGAGGGCAAGCCGTAACACTGAAAAACCGAAGGGGCTTATATGCCAAGTTAAAGAACTTTTCATCGACTAGGCTTTGAGAAGCCCTTAAAGTGATTTAACCCAAGCAATGACCCAAAGACACATTCCTTGAGAATCTCTGGCCCAAAGCTATGAAAAGTCTGGGCTTTCAAAGAATTTTATAGAGAGATGTCGCTTTTAGATTACTTGAAGTTTTTATATCCTAGCTTACTGTTCTTCCCATCATTTTCTCATATATATGAAATATGTGTATTTCAGTCTATGCTGTTTCATTCACACAGTAGCAGGTGATAAAGTCTCATTTAAACACGCAATGAAATTCTGTTTTAATTTTTTAAAGGGGGTGTGGAGACTTTTTTTTTTTAAAGAAAAGCAAAATAACAACATAAAAATCCTAAATTCCTTTTTCATCACAGTACTTAAATATGAAGATAGGGGAAAGCTGTATCCTATCCCAGCCCCAGTAAGGTTACAAACTGAGGGTGCACTTTGCCTGGAAGCTTCCCCAACTAGGTTTAACAAGACTCTCAAAAGGGATGATCCGATAAGGAACAGTTCTAAATGAAGGGGTCAACACAAATCCCCTGGCCTCTCACGTGCGTGGCCCAAGGAAAAGTAATGCCGGCTTCTTGCCGTTGACTTTGCCAGGTTTTAAAAAATGTAAGATAAGGTGGTATTTGTGAGCCGACTAGATGGCACCGAATGGCAGGAAGCAGCTCACAGAAAGCCTCGGGTTTCACTCTTGCAGCTCGGCCCTGAACCAGAGGAAAGCACCGGCCCGGTGCAGGGCAGAAGGCCAGGGCGCCTGCTTTCCCCGGGCGGCCAGGCTGGGCGGCAGGCGGCGCGCCAGGGTACCGAGAGGCGGGTACCGGGGCGCGCCGGGCTGCAAGGCGGGCGTGGAGCGGCGGCTGTCAGGGAGGGAGGCCAGCATCCTCCCCGGCCTCGGCAAAGAACCTGGGCCTCCGCGACTCCTACCTGGCCCCGGTACCCACAGCAAGAGGCTGCTGACAGGAGGCAGGGGCGCGGAGCCTGAAGAGCAGAGGCGCGGCTGAGCCCGCAGAGTCCCCCAGGACGCGGCACCCCGGGCGTAGCGCGGGGACGCTGGAAGCCCAGGGCGGCGCCCCCGCAACCCCACCCCACCCGCGGCTGCCTGCCCGCGTGGCCACCCGCCACGGGCTGCGGGCCCATCGCGCGGGAGGAGGGTGATGCGGCGGCGTTGCCGGGTCCCCTGCTCCGCCGCCCCAGAGATCCGGGAGATAAAAGTTTGCAGCATGCGGCTCGTCTGCAGTGCGAGTCACATCCGCCGCGCCGCCTCCTGCAGCACCAGCGCTCAGAGAACGAACAAATAAATTAAAAAAAAAAAAAAAAAAAATACTGTTGAAGCCGGTAGGCCCCGAAGCCGGCCGCTCTGCCTCCCGGGAGTGCATGCAGGCAAGCCCAGCATCCCGCACCCCCTCCCGCCCCCGGCCGCGCCTCCCTCCCGGCCTCGGAGCCCGGCCCTGGCCGGCCCCGCTGCGCCCGCCGCACTGACCGATAACCTCCTGCAGCTCGTACGCGTCCCTGCAGATGGGCCAGCCGACGGCCTGCGCCGCCGGGGCTGGGGCCGGAGCCGGGGCCGCGGGCGCTGCCGGGGCCGCCGCTGCTGTCGCGGCCGCGGGGGCCGCCGCCGCCGCTGTCACCGGGGCTGTCTGCTGGGGCTGCTGGACGTGCACGGGCGAGCCGCTCGGCTCCGCCATGATGCTGCCGGAGGAGATCCGGAGGACGCGCCGGCCGGCGGACGACCTTCCACTTGAAACTTCCCTTCCCTCACCGCCGACACCTCTCGGTCGGCGCACCCCCTCCCCGCCCGCCGCGCCGCCGCGCCGCCGCCGCCGCCGGAGCCAGCCACGAGGGGAGGGAGCGAGGGAGGCCGAGCCGGGCGGAGGGAGGAGGCAGTGCCGGCGGAGGCGGGGTAGGGAGGAGGCGGCGGCCGCCGCGCTCGCCGCGCGCCCCGAGCCTCGCGCGCGCAGTTCTCTGCCTCCGCGAGGGGAACCGCCGCCCCGCCGCCCCCTCCCGCTCTGCTCGTGGCCGGGGAAGTTTCCACCCGAGGAGAGCGAGGCGGGTTTGTGTTTGCTTTCGGGGCCGGCGTTCCAGGCAATCGGGCTCTCCCGAAGATGCCCCTCGGGGCCCCGAGGGCGGGGTCGTTGAACCGCCGCCAGGTTCTGAGATTCAGAAGCCGCCTCTGCTAAAGAGAACCTTAAGTTCATTTACAAGTTAGCGAGAGAGACACCTACACGCGGGCCGTTTGTAGGGCGCCAGTTAAATAATAACCCAAGTTGTAACTTTCCTGCGCATTACCTGCCAATATCCCTTTCCCACCTTCTCTAATCTAATCTCGGCCTTTTTTTTTTGGAGTGAAACATGATTCCTTAGGTCCCTGGTTGTTCACAGGCTTTTTTCATTTGTTCCCGGCCGCCTGGATCCCAGGGAGGTGATATAAGGGCCTGTGAAGTTATAATTTTAAAAATGTTAGGGATTTGGACTCTATTTCAAATTCTATACTCTTAATAACATGCCATTTTAACCCCTCTAGGGAAAACAGATAGAAGGCATTTCTTTCAGAGAGCATACTATGTCATAAATAAACTGCGTTGAAAACTTATGATTAATTGCTTTTTTTCCAACACTGTCAAAATTACCTCATCTTTAAAATTGCTATGGTTTAACCATAGGTCTTCCTAATTATAGGTGTCGTATTTCACACTGAATGTTCCCTGTGTTCCCTTAGTAGTAATGACCAAGATTACACCATTCTTGTTTTAAGCAGAAACGGTGCAGTGCACCAATGGTCATATTGGTCATTTGGCCAAAATTGTGTAGTTTAGATGACAACAAGTACTGAATAAATGAGGAAGAATAATGAGCATTATTTAAAAAAAAAACTATAAGAAAAATCTGCGTTTATAAGCAAAAAAAACCTCAAGGTTTTTTTTTAAAGATAATTAAGAGGAAACTCCAAAATTCATTAGAACAAATGTTATATGTTTAATCAAACACTGATGTAAACTGAAATGAGCGATGTTTAATCCCTTACAGAATTATGGAACAGATGGGGTAGAGTGACTATGGTGCTCTGGTCTATAAGCAGAAATTTATGCTGAACTAAGAAAGTGTACATCTTTTATGCATGGGTGTTCAAAACTGCCTATTGATTTTAATGCCTGTCAAGAAACAGACAACTTCATGAACAAGTAAATTCTAGGCCTCTGATATTTGAAGTAATGAGGGAAAGGAAACAGGGGAGCTCTCTGTATCTGCTCACCTTTTCAAGGGCTGTATCTGCCCCACCCCAAAGAACTTTTAAGGACTGTTTTTAAGGGAAAAGAAAAATTCTTAAATGAATATGACCTCCATTTTTGTCATATGAATTTAGATATTGAATTTCAAATCATGAAGTGAGACTGAAGGCCAAGGAAAGTTCTTGGAACTTAATAGGAAAACATGATGCTGTCAAGACCAATAGCACAGATTTGAATCAAATACAGATCACTTGGTTTCCTACAAAGAACAACTGTTCTATAGTCACAAACCAGATATCTGTACCCAGCCCACCACTTTCCAAATGGCTACCAGGATGACGCCTTACAAAACCTGGAGTCTCAGTGCATTCCCATCACTACCATCCAGAAATGAGTTTAAAGAAGACTATTTACTATCAGTGGCCTCTGGAATTATTTTTATATAGAAAGAAAAGAACATGAATTATATTTTTAAATTAAAAAATTATAAAAGCATTATATTAGTGAATTTTAAGTTAATATTTTCATAAACAATTGAGTAAAGTAGTACATAAAACTTGGAGATATGTGTATCTAAAAAATACTCAACTGTGGGTGCCTCGGTGGCTCAGCTGGTTAAGCATCTGACTTGGGCTCAGGTCATGATCTCACGGGTTCGTGGATTTGAACCCTGCACCAGGCTCTCTGCTCTCAGCACAGAGACTGCTTCAGATCCTCTGTCTACCTCCCTCTGGCCCTCTCCTGCTTGCACTCAACTGATAGGCAATTTTTTTTTTTCCCCTGAAAGCCTATTACTGAATTTAAACTGAATAATGGCAGGGAAGGAAGTCTTAAAATATAAACAAGGTTTACTTCAATACATAAAGAATACATTCAGTCAGAGACTTTAAACATAGAAAAAAATAAGAGTTTAAATGTTACTAAGCATTAAAACTGCCTCATTATAAGCCAGAGTTTCTGGAGTTCAGCACTTCTGATATTTTGTGCCAGATAATTCTCTGTGTTGCAGAGGTCTGTTCTGGCCTCTACTCACTAGATGCCAGTAGCACCCTCCACTCTCAGTCATAACTATGAAAAATCTCTGCAAATGTCCTCTGAAGAGCAAACTGCCGCCTTAGATAACTGGATATACAAAATTTTCATCTTTAAACCAATTATTGCAGTAGTTACTTGCTTGACAAAGAGCTTATATAGAGTTCAATTATTTATTCATATATCCTGAAGGGGATCAGAATCTGCAACCCCCAAACATGCCACTTTGACATAAGGACTATTTTGAGCTGAAGGCAATTAAGAAGCAACAGACACAGGAAGAACTCTCTGATCTCCCCTATCTGCCTAAAAGCAGGGCATAAATTTCCCTTTTGTAAATGGAATTTCCATTCATAAAGGCAATTTCCGTTTGTAAAGGTGCCCCCTCTCCCATACCAGGAAGAGGAGAATGACTCTTATCACCTAGATGGCACTGAAATGAGTCTGCCTCAACAATCTATACCTATCATCAGTTTACCTTATATATTTCCCAGTCACCTTCCCATGATTTACCCTTGCTAGAAGCCAAGCCCTTTTTCCCTTGTCAAACCACTTCTCCACAATTTATCATCCTTTGTTAAAATGGTATATAAGCCTCCAGTTCTACCCACCCCTTCGAGTTATTCATCATGGAGTACTCACACACGTATGGTCATTGCACATATGCAATCAAATTATGTTTTACTTATGCTAATCTGTCTTTTGTCAGTTCAATTCTCTGGCTTCCAGTTACTAAAGAAGTTTATAGGAAGTTAGAGGAAGTTTTTTCCTCTTCTGCAGTCCTTGGAACATCTAAGAGAAGGTGTGTAGTGTAGTGGCCATGGCCTCTGAGAAAGGAAGTGCCAGAATCAAATCTTGCCCCCAACACTTTGTATTTCTGACTTTGGACTTATTAAAATAAGTCTCAATTTCTTCATTCACAAAATCAGCATCATGATAACTTCCTCATGGGTTGTTACAACATAATCTGTATATAAGCAGCTCAGCAAAATGGCTAACACATAGTAAATGTTCAATAAAATGAAAACCCTCATTGATGTCACCATCATCATTATTATCTGCCACAATTTGTAACAAAAAATATGTAGTAGAAAGATATGTAATAATGGCAATCATGAACTATACAGCATATAAGCTCTCTGAGGGCAAGAAGTTTTGCTCCTTTGGTTCACTGGTATTTCCCAGTGCCTGGAATAACATCTACCACAGAATGTACTCAGTAAATATTTGTTGAATGAATATAACACTTTTTAAATGTATAAAAACATGCTTTTAAACATCAGGATGAGTCAGCTATGTCAAGGGTGGATTACACGGGAGGAAACTGAAGGCGGAGAGACCTATTTGAAAGCCATTGCTATAGTCAAGTTAGAGAATTGTGCATGAGAATAAAGCTCATGATATTGAAGATAATGATGAGGGGGTAGATTTAAGAATTATTTAAGGAGCACAGAAATGGAACTTGATGACAAATGAGATTCCTTTAAAAATCACGTTGCCCCAATGCATTACAAAAGCAGATGTACACAAGCACAATATATAAAATGCCTTAAAAATGCTTCTACTGAAGGAATGGGAGGCTGTTTTGATTGACAGATGGTCTTTCTCCCACGGCTAACCTGTAATCTGCTGCGAAATCACTGCCATTGCATGGTGGGAAAAGGCCAGATGTTCTTGGACGTGAAGGAAATCTATCACCATATCTTTCATCTCCAACTCTTTCATACTTACTCTTTTAGTAACTGTGTTTGAGGAGAAAATTGTGAAAGAGCTGGATTTTTCTTTAAATGATTCCTTCCAGGAACACCTGGGTGGCTCAGTCAGTTAAGCATCTGACTTCGGCTCAGGTCATGATCTCCTGGTTTATGAGTTCAAGCCCTGTGTTGGGCTCTGTGTTGACAGCTCAAAGCCCAGAGCCTGTTTTGGATTCTGTGTCTCCCTCTCTCTCTGACCCTCCCCTGTTCACACTCTGTCTCTGTCTCTGTGTCTCTCAAAAATAAATAAACATTTTAAAAAATTAAACAAATATAAATAATTGCTTCCCAAGACAAGGATTCAATTTTTTTGAGTTAGGATGATGGCAAAGCATAGTAGAAAAGGAATGGGTTTAAGTTGGTAATAGCTGGATTTAAATATTTACTCTGCACTTACTAGCTGGCAGCTTAAACTCTGAGCCTGTGCTTTTTTTTTTTTTTTAAATTAGGGACAATAACCCCAGGATGATTGGGTTGCTCGAAGGATGAAATGAGCTAGTATGTGCGACACATCTGACCTACTGCACACACTACTGGCTCCAAAATTTTGGCCTGGGAGGGATTCAGGGGTGGTGGTCCCAACAGAAGGTACATATTATATGTTGAATTGTGTCCCCTAAAAATATATGTTGAAGTCCTAAACCCCAATACCTGTGCCTGTGACCCTATTTGCAAATAGGGTCTTGGCAAATGTAATCAAATTAAATCCAGTCATTCTGGATTAGGTTGGGCCCTAATGAATGGTACCCTCATAGGAAGAGAAAATTTG